CATGGCCAGGGTGAGGTTAAAGAAATAGAAGTTAAGAAAATGGTAAAATCTAAAAACAATAAAAGACGAAACAATAAAAGACGATAAAATTTATAAAAATTTTCTAGTAGTATATTCTTCTCCTTCTTTGAAACCTTCTTCTCTGGTAGTGGGAGTAGGTTGACTGATGATATCTGAATATTTCCGATATTAGGTATAGTTGTTTTCTATATTTATCTAAACAGCTGCTGTTATTTTGTTCTAGGTAGATAAAATGTACTGCTAGATCTATTATAGAATAGAATCCACTATCTATGTCTATTATAAATTCTTCTAAATTTTGAGTAAGGCTTCTAGCAAAACTTTCTAGATGGGTGTAGTTGTTGCGGTTATTGGACATTAATAGTAAAATTCTTTTCAGTTACATCTTATATTTGTGAAAATCCTACTCGGTACTCTCTCTCTCTCTTATTCTATAGACTTGAAAAGTTAACATATTAACTAAATTATGAACTGATATTACCCATATATATATATTGTTATAAACTTATAATAAATGATCGAATATTAAATATTAGATAATGGCAATTAAAATTTGAATGGCGGCTTGTTTATGTGATTTATGAATCGTTATATGGTGAATTAGAAATAATACATTAATTACTGCACGATAAATTAAAATATATGGATTGTTATGCAAAATTTACCAATTTAAGGATGGTTTTGTCTTTTGATATTCTTATTCATATATCGCTAACATATTCTTATCCACATTTATCTTGTACATAATAATGCATAAGATTTGTGGATAAGTTATACCAAAATTAATAGACAATATCTGATTTTTGGAGTTTAACTTCGGAAACTAAAAATGCACCTTATTAGATTTTCAGAGTTTAACAAACTAAAATACACTTTATTAGATTTTATACCAGAAACCAAATGCCGCATAAGTAAAACAAAATTTTGTATATAAGTTATACTTTCTTATATTTCATACCAATATAAAAGATCGGACCACAAGGGCCTATCATACGCAGCTTTACCCTGCATTTCTGCAAGAGGCTGTTAAATGAGTGTTTACCTCAAAAAATGAGAGTAACAATTAAATATAATTTGTGGTTTTAAAGATATGTGATTTACTTCAATACTAGTGAATATACAAGTAGTATTAGGTTTAAGTAAGAAGAATTGATGAACCAAACCAGTATTATTAGAGCAATAAGGACATCGAGCTCGATTGTCTCAGGAACAATAAAGTAAAAACAATAAAGTTGAAGAACAACGGTGGAGCATAGTAAATGAGAAAAGCAGAATAGAATGTTCTATATCAGTCAATGAGATGGTCTTTACAAATGCTTGGGGTCCCCTTTATATAGGAGGGGAAAACCCTAATATGATACTCCAATTATGGTAAAGAATTCTATTGGTACAGCTGTATAACAACCTAGTACGAACTTGTACTATTTCGTATAAATCTTATCCCATAATTTATGCCCTGACCCACGTGTCCTTGAGAAATTTTCGCTCTTTCTTGAGTGCCATAAATAGGTGTTAAACAGGCAGGGTTGACCCGTTTCTGGACCGACCCAGACCGGTTAAACCCGGAACCGGCCCGGACCGGTTAAAAGGGGGCTGCACTGGACTGGGTAGGAGGGGTAGATGGGGTTGGTCCGTTTAGAATTTTAAAACGGGTAACCGGACCGGTTGAACCCGGTCCAATGAACAATTACCCTTACCGGGTTAACCGGCCTGGTACAACGGCTAGAATTTTTTTTGTTTTTTTTTTTAATTTTCGAAATAAGTGGGCCCCATTGACTGTTGGCAATGGTCAGACCTTGAATTGGTTCGTTGGCCAACGGAAAATTGCACAAATAGCCTTTTTTTAAAAAAATTTTAACCCTTTTTCAATTTACAAAACTAACCTTCTCTAAAACTATAAATACCTCCCATCCCCTCTTCTTCATTTCTTCACTCAATACTCATTTCTCAATCTCAATTTCTCTCATTCTCCAATTTGCAAGACTTCAAGTCTTCAATTCATCTTCTAACACATGTCAGATGAATTTAGCACTCCAGAAGAAGGTCAATCAGTTCATATTGATTATGAAGAACTTACTAAGGCAATGCAAAACCTTTGAATTTACTTGTTGTAAAAAATGTAAATCTTTCAATTTGTAAGTTTGAATTATGAAATAAATGTAGCACTTGCAACAAGTGCATTTTTCCCCATCTTCCTTGTATTCTTTATGTTAATACTTTGTACTAGTATAACCTACAATAGTTATACAAAATTCCAAAAAAAATAATTAAAAATACACTAAACCCGGCCCGCCCCCTTCAACCCGTAAACCTTACGGTTCAATTTTACCCGGATGAACCCGAACCCGTTAAACCCGTTAAGAACCAACCCGGAACCGGCCCGGACCGTAACCCGTACAGGTCCAAAAAATAGCGGCCCGACCCACCCGTTTAACACATTTAGTGCCATATATCGAAATTGTATTGCCCTCGAGGCAGATCATGACGGGTCTCCGATTCGCTTCTCGAGGTGCGTACATCCAGGCCAAGCTCGATTCTTACTTCGAGCTTCCCGAACTCAAGCTCGGTGTATGATCAAGTCTTCGAAATTGAACTCTCCGATTTCGACCGTATACAGATAGTCCCCGCGTTTCTTAGAATAAGATGATAAGAAACGATTTGACCTCGATTTTCCCTAACCTCTCGCGATGACGTGATGCCCATGACGTAGGTGCTTGAAGTGATCGGAAATGTCACGTCAATGTGCTTCCCCAAAACATCAAATGCGTTTCAGCATTTGTTGGCCACTTGTGATGCCGGTTCCATCGTCGGCTTTCTATAAATAAGAGGCTACTTGGCTGAACAAAAACTGTACTTATTCCGTCTTCATCTACTTTTAGTCCTTTCCCTTCTTTACTTCCTCCTCTAATCACCTATTTCTGTGGTTCAAATCTGTGACCACAAGGTCACATGGCAACAATTTTACCAGTTACGCCAAGGCTCTCTTTTTCAAAATTTCGGCTCGAGACAACGAGAGAAGGGCATCAAATCCTTTCCGCAATAGAAGATATACGAACTTTACACTGTTGCTCATCTCTCTTAACTTCAACCTGGTGTGGCGCTTCATTCCTTTTGCTTTCTATGGAATGAGGTGGCACTATCATCTACTAACTTTTGCATCCTACACCGGAACAATGTTCCAAGGACTAACACTCTTTGATTTTTGCACGTGCATCTTGCAACCCCTTTTGGTTTTACTTGTGATAGAAGATGGAGCTACATCTTCTGGCCTTTCCTTCTGCTCTTTTCCTTTTGCTTGCTCTTTTTAATGTATTATGGCCCAAAACTTCAGCGGAATACTCAATCTCGACTGCTGGAGATATAGTTACATTTATCGAGGGCCTTCTGCCCTAAATCTCTTCGGGCATACAAACATTTCCAAAGATAAAAAATGGTGCCCCTAGAAAGAAGATTTCCGAAGACGATGCTCTCGAGGACGTGGTCTTAAAGATGCATTAGGTTCTTTGGATTTTGTTTTTTGCCTCTTTGTTCCTATGTAAGTATCCTTCGTAGGTGTCGTAGTTATACTTTGTAGTCATTTCTTGGAAGTATAAAAGGATCCTTTTGTATCCCTTTCAGCCTGTGCTGAATTTTATTCTGTCTTTACTTGTAAAAAACTCGATTATATGATTTTAATGACTAGCCCAAATACCGAGCTTAGGACATAATAAACCCTTAGATTTTTTAATCAATCAATATAATACCCCTCTAGTTTCTCGTAGTTGAGCTTAAATGTGAACTCGGAACATCGTGATTCTCGAGTCCAAGTTAGATGAGAGCAAGATCTTGAAATAAAGTTAATCCTTAGATATTTTTGCAGTCCCCGAGTGAGAAATTTCTCCAACTCGGGTAGCCCTTGAGCTTTGCAGAGCATTGTAGTCGAGCAGGCATTTTTTCGAACTTGTAATAAAGATAGCCCTTAGGCCTTTTCACAGTCTTCGAGTGAGAAATTCCTCAAACTCGGATAGCCCTTGGGCTTAGTAATCGAGTGGATACTCTGCTCGAATTCGACTTATAGGCTGCCCTTTATGATTTTTGACAAATTAATCCATAATGCCTTGATCCTGATGCCAATATCGTGACATCAGCGGCTGAAGTGACTAAAAAGTTGCTTTTGTGCGATTCCCAAAATCATTAATTGGAGGCGACTGACGGTCGGCCTTTTGGCTTCCCAGCACGCTTAAATAACCTCTATAAATAGATAAATTTCACAACCTTACAAACTTTATTCTCATATTGTTCTCAAAGTCTCATTAGCCTTTTTCAATTTCTTTGAACTCTCCCTTAACTGTCAAGTTTACAAGGTGAAAGACTTCTAGCTAGTAGGTTTTGGTACTGCTGTTGTGGAACAAATAGTATTGCATACTGGTTCCTCATTGATACACACTTTGTGAATGAGCTCATATTGCATGTTAGTAGTCTGGAGTTAAGTGCTGCCTTTTCTGAATTTGGCATACAACTGTGGCTTGCTGATTATCTAAGTAGTTGTATAGTGTTGTATCATTTTCCAGTGGTAGTAGTGTGGTTTCATGCTCATTCTGGAGATGAGAAGGCACTGTATGGATCATACCTATCAAGCAGACAATTGTTGTATTATGCACTTGTTCCCACTACTAGAAATTGGAACTATGGCAACTCTTTTTATTGCTACGGATTAGTAACTGTTGCTATAGGTAGTCTATTGTTACGGTTTTAATCGTTACAAAATATTATTAGAACTACCGGGACACTTAGCTACTGAGCCATTGCAATAGTCTTAAAACCGTTCCGATAGAGGTATATATGGCAACGTTTTGTAGAACCGTAGCAATAAATCAATCTATGGTAACTGTTATATCTATTGTTACAGTTATTAATTCCCTCCTTATTTTTCACCCAAATTTTCTATACCCGCTAAAATGAAAGGGGCCCACCATGTAATTTTCAATTTTATTTTTTTGTTTTTATACCTAATAAAATACTACTATGAAATACGTAAACCCCTAAAAATTAGGGTACAAGCTCACTATCGGAAATTACAAGGAGATCTCTTCCAATCATCTTCACCACCAAAAATCAGCAAAAACTAGCCCAAATCACCTTGAAATCAGTCAAAAAAACAGCCCCAAATACCCCAGCGAAAATCAGTCAAAAAGACCTCAAAACAATCACCTCTGAAAATGGGTCCAAATCTCAGTCAAAAGGAGGTCAAAACGCTGCAGAAGATAACCATTAGAGCAGCTCCAAATTATCATCTCCTCCAATACGATCTCCTCCAGTCAACAGCTCTTCTCGCTTGTCAGCGCCATTACCGACTCGCTCGCTCTCTGTTTGCTCAATTACTCAAAATTCATTTTCCTTTCAAAAACCCTAGCATCGAGTTTCTACTTATTTACTAGCTCGCATCGAGTTTCTACTTCGTACGTCTAATTCGGGTAACCTTCCGCTCTTCTAGAGTATTATTTTCTGAAACTCTTAATATTTTTTGATTTGGTAACTGTTATTTTTATATTTTATTTCTTACAGTAATTAATTTTTTAACTCGTACTATTTTTTCCAGCTGCATACAATGTGGTTTCCCCTTTTATATGGTTTTGCAGATCTGTTGTATTCCTATCGATTTGTCGAAATTCATGTTTATTTTGTTTATTAACTCGATTAATTGACTGTCCTTGGAAAAAATTTGGGAACTATTTGGAACAATGTTTGTGAGCATCTAGTTAGAAAGAGCAGACATGTTTCAATACTTGGGAAACTTATTGGCGTGGAAAAGAATGGGAGCTAAAGATTTACTTTGCAGAATCTGTTTGATTTCTGCTATTTCCAGTGCATTTTTCTGCTATTGTAATTAGTTTTGTTGGGGTCGAAAATAATTTCCAGTGCAAAATTATTGGTTGTGGAACTGTTTTTTTTGTTGGTAATTTGATTGTGGAACTGTTGTTATTGGAGTTGTTATGTCCTTTTGGCTGTTGGAAATGGTCGTAGCATTAATAGATAATTTGTGGTTTAGACTTTAATTAGATAAAGGTGCAGGATAAAAGTTTAAGCTTGGAACACTTTTAACTGCTACATTTGCAACTTAAAGGGAATTAAGACTCCTTACTTGTAATGAAAGCGACTTTCAACTTAACTTTACCAATTAGAATGAGATTTGTGTTCCTATAATTATGCCTATTTTCAATATATTTATGCTGCTTGATCAAAACACAGAATTCACTAGACCCCGCCTTGTAAGAATTCACTAGGTATATTGTTGTTGTTGAAAGAAGTATTATGATTGTAGATTAAGGCAAAAATTGAAATATGAATCTAAAATCTAAATGCTACTTTCCCCTTCCTTTGCTATACCAACTTGTCGTGTTAACGAACCAGATCCTTGAGTGTTTAGCTCGTTTAACTTCTGGACAGGTTCATCACTTAACTCCTCTTCCCTCATCGTGTCTTCATGTTGTTCTCTTGTGTGGTCAGCCCCTCCTTTTGGTTGTTTAGTTGCCGACGACATTATGGATAAAGTTTGTTTACCAGCTGTAGTTTTAGAATCAGCAGTTTCAGCAGCTGGTTGATGTCTCAACATAGCCTGTAGCTTCTGATATCTGCTTCTAAAAGGTAGTACTAGCATCAGTACTTATTTTAGTTGCGCTTTCTAGGGGAAATTTCCATAGTACTTTGATTATCTTCATCTGCGGAGTAGCCCTTTCAGCTTGTGTAACCAAAGTATTCTAGGGAGTAGTGACCTCAATCTGGCTGAACTGTTTATGGAGGATGATGGTTGCATCACAACATATTTGTTGGATAGCTCTTGTTACATAAATTCTTTCACATTCATATTTTCTTTTTGCATCTTGCTTTCCGTATATGCCAATGAATAAGAAGGGGGATAGCCCATCTTCTGGATATTATCATCAGTGGGCGATATCATCAGTGCTATTATCAGTTGTACCCTCCAACACTTCAGTACCATATATTCTTGCAATTCATGATTCACAACTTTAGCATTAAGATCAGCTGGTTTTATTAGTTGAATCACCAGCTGTAGCAGTAGGATGATCCAGCTTATTATAAGCTTGCACGACTGGCTTCTCAGCTGGGTTTTGCCATATTTTTGGGTTGGTTTCGGAAGGAGAATTGCTGAATTTTGCAGAAGCNGTATTCTGTATTTCATATCTCTTATTATGCTGTTATTTTATTATGCATTTTTATGGTACTAATATATCGGCTTCTGTTGCTTTTTTTGAGCCGAGGGTCTCCTGGAAACAGCCTCTCTACCCTTCGGGGTAGGGGTAAGGTCTGCGTACATATTACCCTCCCCAGACCCCACTTGTGGGATTATACTGGGTCGTTGTTGTTGTTGTTGTTGTTGTTGTTGTTTCTGCTTTGCATATTTCTTGGGTGATTTAATTGTTTCTGCTTTGCACACTTCTTGTCCTCTGAAGTACCTTTTAATGGCATTTGAGATTGGTACACTCTAAAGTCTATGCCATGATTTTGGTTCAAATATCAAACATAATTAGTTATTTAAGCAGAACTTCCATGGAAAATCGAGTTATATGCCTTGGCAATACTCTACTGGGACACTCTAAAGTCCCCCATTCTTGACAATTGTTTCGTCATTGTCCCCTTTTCTCCCGCATCTCTTCAACAGCACTCGCCGCTATCTCAATTATCAATTTGATTTAATGATTTCTGTTTATGTGCATATTATGTGTTTGTGAAAATTCGTTGATTTACTGATTACCAGCGATGTCTATTTTAAAATGGCCGTTGTGTATGAGCCGACGCTATATGTATATTTCCGTTTCTGCCTCATAAAATTTTCCATTGGCTCTTTAAAAAGCTACTTGAATCAGATATGGAGATGATACATTGCCTGTAGGAGTTACGTAGCTGCGGCATCCAGTACAGGGCTGCTTAGTTACCAATCTTGCCATCCTCTGGAGTTGATACATTGCCTGTAGGAATTACGTAGCTGCTAGATAGATCTAAAGGTGACTTCCCTGCTAATTAGTCAAGTACAAGAGTATTAAACCTCCATGAATGAGAGTAATAGCATACATTTGACACCTTAGTTTTATTAATATATACATGAAACACAATTTACTTTTGAAAAATAATGTCAGAAGTCTTATTCCATTATTGTCAAATAGAATTGGTACTGCATTCCATTATCGTCTGAGATGGGTTCTTAATATGTCTCTAGGAGATTCTTGGTTCTTTCCTAATGAAACATGTAATATTTACTCTCTCTCCTCTTCACTGATCTGTTAAGTTGAGTTCCAAATTACTTGTTAAGTTGATTTAGTTATTTGCCTTATTAATTGGCGTGTGGTAGACGTGTGTCTTTTTGTACTTCTTGTGAACTGTTTTTTGGAATTTTGCATTCTTGGGAGTATCTTTTTATGTGTTGATGATGCCTTATCTCCGGAATATCTTTGTCCGTATATTATGGGATAAACCAATATTTTGCCATCCAATTTTGGGGTTTAATGCAGAATTTTATACTTTCTTTTTACCCTTGGTTTTGTGGACCAAGTGAATTTTTAGATAGGATTCTCTTGAAGGGATAATGACTTTATTTACACTCTTTTGTAGGTGGAGTAGAAATGAAAGACAGAGGCGGTGATGAAGATCTAGACCTTACTTAAGAGAATTTTGAATTATTGATTGTTGTAGATGCATGTGGCGGTTTTTAGGAATGTTTGTTATCAAGACATTTTAAAACATTTTTTATTTATATAATTTTTAGTGTTTTATAGTTTATTGTATACATATGTAAATCTTTATTTAGAAAAGGGGCAATATTTTCAATTCAATTAAACTGTTACAATAGCTAACAGAACCGTTGCCATAGGACTTGCAAACTGTTCCAAAATAATCTAAAACCGTTGCAATAGGTAGTTCAACTGTTGCAATATCTTAAAGAAATCGTTGCCATTTCTATAATAGCCGTAATGATTTAATAGATATAGTAACGGTTATTGACCGTTTCATTTAACGTAATGGTAATGGAAATTAAGCGTTCCAGTTGATACGAATAATCGTTCCAACAAGAAGAGGGAAAGCCATTGCGATAGACTATACTATAGCAACGGTTATCTGAACCGTACTAAAAACTGTTCCATAAGCTCTATAGTAACGACAACTTGTGGAACGGGCGCTGAACTGTTGCAATACCTCTATGGCAACGGTTTAGGTATCTGTTGCAACGGTTTTCCATGCGTAGCCATAGGTAAATTTTCCAGTAGTGTCCTATTAGCTTTGTGACTGACTACTACGACTGGTTTTCTTGGAAATAGAGTTCAACATTGAAGAGTTCAAGTTGTATTACATGTTTCTTGCAGTTCTAGATAGCTTCTATATATTGGTGTGATTGTTTGGAGTCCATATTTGCCTTGTCCACACGAATCTTGTCCTTTGGAATGCATAACCTAGCTCCTGGTGAGAGCTTTGGAAGTGCTACTATTTGGTTATTGCCCTTGGCCTTTGGATTCACTTGCACTGATTGTTCCTGGAAGCATATATCCTACTTCATTGTAATATCTAGCTTGTTAGTTCTAGTTTTATCATTTACCGTACTAGCTAGTAGTAGTTTACATATTTTAGATTGGTTTGGTCATATTGTGAGACTTGGACCCACGTTTATATTAGCCACTAGGCAGCCAACCTAATGGTATATTTTCTTAAAACAATACACATCAAATAACCCCTAATTCACCACAAATCCAACCAAACATCCAATTAATACTTTAAAACTAACAAGTTCAATTAAACATTAAAATTCAAAACCAAGCAAAAACTAAGTAATTACAACAATTCAAAATTGTTCAATCTAATCCAAAACAAGTTCTATTAGTCTAGTTCAAAGTATATCAAAGTATTGGTCAAGGGGTGTTTTCTACAGTATCACCATTATGTGATAAACTTTTATCTACAAGACAGTATAGAGAATGATCACGGGGAGGATGAGAAGAACGATCATGGGGAGTACAGGGGAAACGATCACGGGGAGGACGGGAGGAACGATCAAGGGGAGGATGGGAGGAATCATCATGTGGAGGTGGAGCCTCTAGTGACGACTCACGAGACGAGGGCAACGGAAAAGCTCCAGTAGAAAGGAGAATTTTGATCTGAGCTTGCATACCAAGGAATTGAGCATCTCTAAGCCTTTTTCTTTCCTTGGTCGCTTCTAGCTCGGATGTAATGTCATTGTCTCCTGCATAGCCGAGAGACTCTCTCTATTAAGAGCCTCACCCTGTGAAGAACTCCCTATTCCTTGCATTCCACACCTGTACTGATGGAATCTTTTCTTAGGAAGCTCGTATGTTCCCCTTTTTTGGACCGCTAACAACCTCCAACCATATTCTTTCAGCATCCTCGTCCGAAGGTTAGGTTGGCTCGCCCGATTCACCAGCTGGCTGATTATGAATGAAGTCCTCCACGTTAATTTGGTAGCGACCCTACGTTATTTTAAATAAATTAGTATATAAAAAATCTTATAAAAGTAAATTATAATACTTAAAGAAAATTGAAAGCTTACATATGTAGTTTCTACCTGGTCCTCGACCCACCTATTTGTATCCCCCTCTTTCTTCTTCTTAAAATATGTGTTTCCTTGAATAGCTCATCATGGTGCATTGGACGTGTCACGACCCTAAAATCAACCCGGTCATAATGGTGCCTATCATGGAACTAGGTCAGTCGACACAAACCCAAAACCAATCAGTATTTTCCATTCTTAGCATAAAAATCAAATCTATTTAACAATAAACCTTTATATAGTGTTTAAAATAAAACAACAGTGCAGAATGAAAACCCGACATCGGGGTATCACTAGTCATGAGCATCTACTACAACTGTCTGACAACGTCAAGACCAACATGGCCGGGAAAATTACAAAAATACTCTAAGGAAGAATAAGGAGGGAGGAAATCAGGGTTGCGATCGCCAGGCAGCTACCTTGATATCTCCGATGAACCTTCCACTAAGTAATCAACACCCGTCACCGGGTCTAGAAATACTTGAATCTGCATACAAGGTGCAGGGAGTAATGTGAGTACACCAACTCAGTAAGTAATAAAAGTAAATAAAGACTGAGAAATAAGAAAACACATAGACCACGTCATAACGCTACATCAAATACAGTACATTCCCAAAACAATACAGAAATCATTTATTTCGTAAATCAAACTCAGTTTCAGTAAAAACCATTCCTTTTTAAAACATCTTCCAATAGTTTCAAACGAGTGATAAAAACAGTGAGTAAAAAAAAGGATAGAAATGTAAACAGCCCCTCGGGCAAAAACATGTACCATAAATCACCCCTCGAGCATAATATCAACAGAACCAGCCCCTCGGGCAACCTCACAATCACTCGTAATTAGCCCATCGGGCATAACATGAATCAAGAACCGCCCCTCGAGCAAAATATGAATCAAGAACAGCCCCTCGGGCAAAAACATGAATCAACAACAGCTCCTCGGGCAACAATATGAATCAACAACAGCCCTTCAGGCAACAATATGAATCAACAACAGCCCATCGGGCTACATCACATCATTCACACTGGGTACCCATGCCCACTGGGGTTGTACAGACTCTGGAGGGGATCCTACAGCCCAAGCACTATAACAAGCCATCTCGTGGCATAATCAATCAGGACCTCAGCCTCACATAACAACAAGACACCTTGTGGCATAAATCAATCAGGCCCCCGGCCTCACATAACAACAAGCCACCTCATGGAATAAATCAATCCGGCCCTCGGCCTCATAATATCATGAATCAGTAACAACCTGTTGCGGCATGTAGCCCAATCCCATAATATCCTCACAACATAGGCCTTCAGCCTCACTCAGTTAGAAACCTCTCAAGCCACTCGGGCAAACAGTAAAAACAGGATGCTCAACACAAAATATCATTTAAAGTATCAAAATTGAGTAAATACGACTGAGTTATGAAATCAGTAAAATACAGCATGGCGGAGTACAAATATTAAGTTAAAACAGTGAGGAATAGTAGTAAAAAAGCCCCTAAGGGGCCAAACAGTTGACACTAGGACCAAATATGACATTCAGCCCAAAACATAGTAATACTTTCCAAAACACAATGATATCAAATAGTTTTCAATCAAATACGCGACTTAATAGTCGTACCGGACGGACCAAGTCACAATCCTCAACGGTGCATGCCCCTATGCTCGTCATCTAGCATTTGTGTCACCTCAAAGTAGCATAATGATGTGAAATGTGGGGTTTCATACCCTCAGGACAACATTTACAATCATTACTTACCTTAAACCGGTCCAAACTATAGCCCGCGATGCCTTTGCCTCTCTAATCGGCCTCCAAATGCTCTAAATCTAACCAAAATAAGTATATTATCATCAATATATGCTAAAGGAACAAAGCCCAAGCGAAAATAATCAAATTAACTCAAGAATCCTAAAATTGCTCAAACACGGCCCCCAGGCCCACGTCTCGAAATCTGACCAAAGTCTCAAAATCCAACAACCCATTCAATTATGAGACTATCCATACTAGTTTCACTCAATTCCGACTTCGAATCGACTTTCAAATCCCAAAAATTCATTTTATAAAGTTCCACAAATTTTTCCCAAATTTTCATCCCAAATCTCTACTCAAATGATGAATCCAACGTTATAATCATATATTTTAGCCAAAATTGAATTAGAATCACTAACCTGATGGTTTTCTTAGAAATCCTTCAAAATATCGCCAAAGACTGAGCTCTCTAGGTCAAAATATGAAATAAAACCCCAAATCTCGTATTTATAGTGCACCTCTCGGATTCCCATCACCGCTGACCTCTGAAAATCATCTCTGACCACGATAAACCACCGTTGACCGCGGTAAATCACCACTGATTGCGCTTCTGGTGGCTGCACAGACAGGCCTTAGTATTTTGGCCATAACTTTTTCTACAGATGTCCAAATTATGATTTCTACAGATGTAGATCAAAGGATATAGGCTTCTGAAGTCGGACCAATGAACCTGCGGATTCTCCCCTAGACCGCCTCAGTGCTCCTTTGTCCACCCTTAGCGGTAAAAATTCTGCCTCAACGGTAGATTTGAGCACCAGATCCATTGCCTAAGTTCCGGTAATGCCCAGACTCGCTCAAAACACACCTGAGGCCCTTGAGACCTCAACCAAACATACCAACACCTCCCATAACTTCATTAAAACTTAGTCGAGCCTTCGAATCACTCAAAACAATAACAAAACACCAAATCAACCTCGGATTCAAGTTTAAGAACTTAGGAACTTTCAAATTTCACAAACAACGCCGAAATCTATCAAATCACCTCCGAATGACCTGAAATTTTGCACACATGCCCAAAATGACACAACCGACTTACTCCAATTTTCCAGAATTTCATTCCAACCCCGATATCAAGATTTCCACTGCCGACCAGAAAATGCCAAATTTCCAATTTCGCTAATTCAAGCCTAAATCTACCATAGACCTCCAAATTATATTCCGGACACGCTCTCAAGTCCAAAACCACCTAATGGAGCTAGCTAAAATATAAAAATCCAAATCCGAGATTGAATACCAAAAAGTCAAAACTTGGTCAATCCTTTCAAATTCAAAGCTTGAAGCTGAGAATTGTTCTTCCAAATCTATTCCGATTATCCTGAAAACCAAAACAGATGATTTACATAAGTCATAATACATCATACATGGCTATTCACACCCAAGAACTGGCGAGCAAAGTACAAATGCTCAAAACGACCGGTCGGGT